ATGTTTTACCTGGTCTTGTTTCTTCTGCCTCCTAATCTAACTATATCTAGTATTACCTTGTTCCCCACATTTCCCACAAAAAACTGACATTTAAACTAACCTTAAAGCATTAATTAAAATAATGAATGTTCAACTTTATATATATAAAGTAGATTTTATATATATATATACACAAAACTTAATGAGTAAAAGGCTCTAGGAACTGAGGTTGTGCAAGCTATGCAGTAGATGCAAAAAAAACCTCAATTATCTTATCTCTAGTCAGAGATAAAACTAACATCTATAGAACCTACAAAATAGACATTATTGTAACATATTTATCTAATTGAAGGTGCTTATAATGATCTATCTAAAACATGTATACATGATTTAAAAGAAGCCATATAACAGACACAAGCCTCTATGTGGGACCTCATTACCCTTTAAATAAAGAAAGATTGACCTAGACCAACCTGTTTATACTAGAAATGGATATTAACTTCATCTACCCTACTTGGGTTAGCTATGAGGTAATGTTAAAGAAGATGTGATTAAAGTCAATATGATGGGTTCTGGCTCTGGGAAAGTAAAATTGAAACATTTCTTATTGGTTTTATAAAAGCTATAAAAAATATTAAAGTAATGAAAGGCTGTGTGAAAAAGGTAAAGGTTAGAACAAAAATGATTGAAAAGTATTGGAAATAATGAGAAGAGCATGGTCTTGTGTAGGTTCTTCTTATGGTTAATTTATTATAAAAAAAATAAAATTTCTTTTTCCAAAAAGTAGAATTCAAGCTCATAGTTTAGAATCATATAATAATATAACTCTATAATTGTATTGCCTCTACAAGATAATACAACTAATAAAAGCTCTTTTGAACCAATACAATATGCTTTTTAAAAAAAATCATAATACTTATCTTGTAATGCTCCTCATCAATTACCTTGAACTTGTGCCAAATCAAAAACTACACTATATCTTTGAGGAATATTATACAACATAATCATTTTTTAAGTAACAATCTGTCACATTTGCTTCATCTCTAAACTTGACCATAAAACCTATAACAATAAGTTTTTAGGCTCAGTCATTGAAATTAAAACCAATATTCAGATTGCAAATACTATCAACTTCTTTTATAAAAAATTATTTTCTTACTTCAAAAATAGATTGCAATGAAGAATATAGTTTTCTGTGACTGAAATGATGTCTGCATAGATTTCTTCTATTCCTAGTTTTGTGTGACAATGTTGTACGACTACTTATATATAATAAGTACCTACTATATTTAATAATTTATTATTACTTGATAAACTTATCTTATTATAATCTTTTTACATTTTCTTTAATGCTGTCAACTACTATTTTAATATTTAATTTAATTCATATTACATTAACTTAGACAATAACTAAAACTATTACATATCTCTATAAAATATTCTGTATACTAATTTCTGTTTCTGGTTTTGTGCAATAACATCACACAGCTACCTTATTATATACTATAATAAGTTAACCATATATACTATGTATTACATGATACATATTTAGTACATGCAATATTATATAATTAGGTTTATGTCTGTAGACTGTTTATAATTTAGGTAGGTTAGTTATATTACAAAAAAAGTAAGTTTTATAATTAACAAGCCAATCAGACTATAATTTTATTCTGAATTTAAAATTTTCTTTTTACTATAGATTTAAATTTTTTGAAAACCTGAAACTATAATAAGTTAATTTACATATTTTACCTTAAGTGTAGTTCTTTAAGAGGTGGACTGTTAGATTAATTTTAACAGTTAAGATCTACTTTTGTCTAAAGATAAAATTTGCTTTATGATTATTTTTTTGTTTATAAAATAGTACATTCTCAAAAAGTACTTTAAAGTTATTTACATAAACCAATTAGATGAAAGTCATCTTCTGAGTCTATTAAGCATTAATAATATTTCTATCTATTTTGAAATCTGCAAAATTCTTATGATTTTATATGATATCATGATCTACAGAAGGCACACTTTTTTGTAAAATGCAATAAAGATTGAAAAATATGATCAATAAGCAATTTAGAACCTAAAATTTTCCAACATGTTGTGAAAATTACAGTGTTTCATCTTTCTACAAGCCACCATAATACAAATTAATCTCAATATGCTTATAAAGACTGCAAAGCACCTACAGAGTACATTACAAAAATAATCTAGTTAAAACTGAGTATATATAGTGCAGGAAATTTGAAAACTTTGATCACTTTATTTTGTTGAAAACATTCTAAGTTTGACAATAGCATATTTAAGTATCAGAAGTATGCACTAAATAGTTGCAATTAAGTACATATTCTTTTTGAAGTATGATTTTTATTGAGGTTGATAATTTAAGAAATTTATTTCTACTATGCTACCAGTCTGTATTGTCTACAAATTGAGTTTTTTTGCATTGACATATGCATGTAAAAACCATAACAAATATATTCTAAATTATCAATTTTAATAAAGTATACAGTCAGATCCTTCTAAATGTAACTCCTTAAATTAAGTTCTATGAAACTTGTCTTTATTAAGCCCAACTAACAATACTTTATAGACTTTATCTTTCTAAATGCAGTGCATATTCCTCTCTAAATGCATGTTTGACTAAATCTTAAATATGGTCAGTCACAATGCATTTAGAGAGATCTGGTTATATATACTTATTTATACCCTATTTACATTTATGACATTATTTCAAAGTATTATCATCTAAAAATAATGAAAATGACTTACCTATGCACATCCTGCAGGTGGATGTTACTATGCAAATACTTATTAAAAGTCTTAATTACATATTATTCTTGGAGATATAAAATATTGATAATTTAGAAAATTTGTTTTCAATTGCTACCAGCAGTATCTCTCTATAGGATGATTGTGATTTCTAAATTTTCTGCACTGTACCTACTAGATGCAGTTATAAGAATTTTGAAAAAAGCAATAATTAGCTTTCTGGCTTAGTATATAATTCTATTCATTTCAAAATTTCATATTCTAAATTATACCAAACATCAAAAAATAAGTAATTCAAAAAGCTCAAAAAATAATAGCCCTAAGAATGATAGTCCCAAAGAGTGATACATGTTTTGGGATGAAAGAAAATTTAATCTTATTAGGCTAAAAGTCAATTATAATAAATAAAAGAAACTTTGGATTTCATCTTTTCAATGATCAATTATTGCTGCTGTTGTATGTATAATTTCACTAGAAATTGGACTTTATTTTTTATTCATAAACAAATCAAAGCAAGATAACTCATATGATCCTTAAGTTTTATTAAAAGCTACTTCAACCTTTCTTGGTATAGGAAGCTTTGCGACTTTTGGTCAAAGTCTATTGTCACTTAGAGAAATGCTTATTAATAAAAGTAATAGAAGTAGCACTAAAAAGGCATTTAATAATGACTCTATCATTAACAATTCATAAAGAAATTGCCCTAAAATACTGGATTTACTGAAATCATCACCTTTATTGTTTGTTAAAAAACTTATTGAACATATGAATTTTATGATGTTTTGGCGTACTTTATTAATTACTTTTCTGTTATTTTCTTTTTTAGTTTTTTCTATAATAATAATTATTTCTCTTTTTTCTAAGCAAAGTATAGACATCTTTCATACTGTTGCCATTGTCCTTATCACTTTTTCTATATTTTGTTTCTTGTAGGTTATTGGAATTGCTATTTGTGTTAAAGTTTATATTCCCATATTAGAAGAGCTGATAAACAAAAATGAAAAGGATAAAGAAGCTCAAAAGAGTAAAGGGACTCAAAAGGATAAACAGGAGAGTACAGATAATGATTTGGGAATATTGGTGTATAAAATGATAAAAGATGTAAGACTATAATTTAAGAAAGAGTTCCCTAAAGTTAAGATCCCAAAAGATATTAGTTTTTTTATGATTGTGATACTTTTAATAAGAATAGCAATTAAAATATCTAAAATAGATAATATTATACATAAAAATAGATTAAAACAAAATAAATATATTATGATATATATGAACATTTTGGTGACAAATTTAGATGGATATATAAGTGACTTTATAGAAAACAGCCATAATAATAGAACAAAGGATTATGCTGAAATCAATAATATAAGAGAAGTATTAAGAAAAATGAAGCTATTTTGAGATAATCATTATTCAGATATTAATGGTTCAAGTAGTCAAGAATCTTCAACTAAAAAAAAACATAAATGAATCAACTGATATAGCTAAAATAATGAGTTTTTTGAAAAAGTATAAAATCAAAAAAAAAATATAAAAGTTATAGAAGATCTAATAGAGAATAAGCAATGTGAAATAGAGAATAGACATGACAAAACAGTAAACATAGTTGAGCAGCTTAAAAAAAAATTTGATGAAGATGGTGCTAAAAATATAAAGGTTAAGATTGATGATAGAGAAAATATAAAGGTTAAGATCGATGATATAGAAATAACAATGAAAAAAGTATTATTAAAGGTTATGAAAATTTTGGATAAGGCAAAGAGGAGTAATAACTTAGCAAAGAACAATGGTAAGCAAAAAACAGAAATTTGATTGATTTAATATATCCATTAGATAAAAGCATTAAAGAACTAAGTGCTAAAGTAATATCTCTAAAGGATGATATTATTATGAAAATTTATTTTAATGACAAAATCCCTTTATTCACAAATCTTCAGAAATTACATAGTTTAGAAAAACTTGTCTAATTATATTTACTATAATTTTTTTTCAATTTCTTTATATAATTGGTTTAATAGCAATAAATTAGAATAAGCTTAATAAGCATGTTGTAGAAATTAGTAATAATAAGAAAAAATTGAAATATTTGGAAAAAGTTTTTATTTATTGCTTTACTATTATTTTATTTCCTATTCTTTTTCTTATATATTTATTCATTAGTTATATTACTAAGGCTTACATTAATAAAGCTAATGAGGCTAATGTTAATGAAGCTAATGAAGGTAATATTATTAAGATTAATATTTTTTTTTTAAATATTAAGGTGAGTACTTGCGACCCAGGATTTTATTAATAGTATATTTGGCTAATGGTTGCATTA